ACTTAGTTACTTTCCACCACTGCCTCAAATTGTATTTAGTTACCTTCCACCACCACCTAAAATTGTACTTAGTTACTTTGCACCACCACCTCAAAGTGTACTTAGTTACTTTCCACCACCACCTCAAATTGTACTTAGTTACTTTCCACCACTGCCTCAGTTTGTACTTATACTTTCCACCATACTACTTTATACTTAGTTACTTGCCGCCACTGCCTCTATCTATCTATCTATCTATCTATCTATCTATCTATCTATCTATCGTCATCATACATATACACACTCATATACACATTTTAAACACACTGAAAAGTATTTTGGGTGTTTGACCACCTATGGCCAGTGGGGGCGCTCATCCCACCATGTGATCCTCTCTTCCTCCCCTCCCCTTTCTTTTCCTTCCTCAGTGAGAGGTTGGTTGGCTCTGCACTCTGCTGTCGCTCCACCGCAGCTCTCCCACGCACACTCTCCCCCTGCTCTGCCTTTTCTTCCAGCGCAGCTTTTCGTGGCCATTAATTTCAAGCAATAAAGCAACAGCTTTATTTGATGAACTTAACAGGATAATCAGCCCACAGTCGCACCTCGGGCTATATGGGCGCATTAGCTCCACGACGGGCCTCGCATTATCAGATCATTTGATCACTATACATGCATAATGAATACATGTGGGAGTGAAATCAGAGCAGATAGCAGACCCCGTGACCCTGGGAGAGAAAAAATTAATACTACATCATCTTAATGTTTAATAGGTTTTCTTGTCGTTACATCACCTGTGACCTCCAAGCAAGTGCTGAAAAGCAGCCAAACATCTCTAATGTGACCTTGCTGGGGAACAAAGTTATTAAGCTCTCTTTGACCAAACTAGAGTACTTTTTGCTTGTGTCAGGAGTGAAGCCTTCCTGCCTCTCCCTCACTGTCACACTGTGAAAATATTTGCTGAGCAAATCCCTCACAGTGTTAAAGCGTGAAACACTTCGCATTGGAATGGGACACTGATAGCCCACATAGCCTGTGGCAGTGGCACACACGCACTGAGCTATCCATCCATCCAGGAGAGAATGACACCATTATACATATGACATCACGGCTGTTACGCGCGGGCGGAAGACACGCACGGAGGGCACACGCACAAACCGCCTGCGAGCATCTACGCACCAACACACACACACACACACACACACACACACACACACACACACACACACACACACACCTATTCTCCTCTCTATTCCAAAAATACCGTACCTGAGGTCAGGGTGCTAGGTCGTCCACATGGAGAGGTTGCAGGGGGTGAAACGTTAATCTTTCCCCGGGCGGGAGAGCGCACAGCAAGAGTTAGAAGACGCCGTATTTGCCGTTCCCCGCTCTTCATGCGACCCCGAAGCTGTCCACCGCCGTCTGCCTCCCAGCTCATTGTTTGCTCGGCCAATACATTAGTGGCGACGCGCGTCACCTTGATCGACGAGCGCCTGGAATTTAAATAGCCACTCAAACACCAATCTGTCACCGGCTAAGGGGATAAGGACAAGTACCTCACTGGCTGACCCGGGCCCACGTGATAACACCCGTTCATTGATATCGGCCCGTGCGCCCCCTCCCTCTTCTGATAAGGACAGAGTATAGGTAAAGGTTGGCACGGTCACTCGGGGTAAGAGGGGAGAGAGGACTAGATCAGAGGGTGTCTGTAGAGCGGACGGTCCCTCGGCCCAGGCAGAACAATGCTACAATGAGCAGCTTCTTAGACTACTCAGTGATGAGCGGTGAAGGAGGCTCATGCTCTGTCAGGGCTTTCCACTCGGACCACGGGATTACAACTTTCCAGTCCTGCGCGGTTACTGTCAACAACTGCGGGACGGATGACCGCTTCATGGGGAGCAGGGCTTCTCCGGACGGCGTCCCTCACCAGCCGGGGTCATACCAATCTCCTGCTAGCTCTCTGGGTCTCGCCTATGGGGCCCATCCGGCCTGCAGCTCCAGCTATGGACCCCAAAGTTTCTGTGCTACGTATAACCATTACGCCCTCAACCAGGAAGTAGACTCCACAGCGGGATTCCCCCAGTGCGGCCCACTAATGTACTCGGGTAACATTTCCTCTTCCATGGTCTCTCAGCATCGCCAAGGTTACAGTGCCGCCCCCCTGGGTCAACTGCAGTATGCCCATGCTGCCTATGGCGGCGGGCACGAGCAAGCAGCCCCTTTTCCAGGGTGCTCAAACCCACTGTCACCACTGCATGCAGCTCACCTGGAGGCTTGCTGTTCACCTCTGTCTGAGGGCGCATCTTCTGCACAGACTTTCGACTGGATGAAGGTCAAGAGGAACCCACCGAAAACAGGTGGGTACCATGTGTCATGTCTGTAAACAACACAGGTTTATAAGTGATCCAAAGTCTTTACATTCAAGCGATGTTAGACAATGTTGTGAGATATTTTTGTGTGGGACAAACATGAATATAAGCACGTTTAGAGCCAAGCTATTGAGTTAAAATTTTATACCTTTTATTTGACACTTCCTGTCTGACTGTGCCACCTTTATAATTTGTAATGCTGTCTTAAAGGAAAAGACAGAGGGCTGGGAATGCCTCTCATTGTATAATGAAGTATTTAAATGTACTATACTGTAGCAGATGCTATATTTTAGTGTTCTATTATACCAAGCATTTGAACACATGTATCACAGCATATTTCAAAGTATAGCTGACATTAAATAACTGCTGCGTAAAAAGTTGCTTCTGCTGCATAAAAGTTGCTTCTCGATGCGTAAAAGTTGTTTCTGGGCACAAGCAGTAACTCATGTGTGTTGAGAGCAGAGAACATGTAGTGTAACTCTCCAAGTTCACAGTGATTTGTTTCTTCGTCTGCAGGCAGGTCTGGGGAGTACGGTTATGGGGGTCAGCCGAACACGGTCCGGACCAACTTCACCACCAAGCAGCTGACAGAGCTGGAAAAGGAGTTCCACTTCAACAAGTACCTGACCCGTGCTCGGCGCGTTGAGATCGCGGCCGCGCTTCAGCTGAATGAGACTCAGGTGAAAATCTGGTTCCAGAACCGGAGGATGAAGCAGAAGAAGAGGGAGAAAGAAGGGCTGCTGCCGACCAAAGCTCCATCCTCAGACCCGGGGGAGAGCGCACAAGAGAAAATGGACGATGCAGCATCAGAGAAGTCTATCTCAGCTCCCTCTACTCCGTCTCCCACATCCTCCACGGTGTCTGATCCTTACTCCTCCAACTAAGAACCAACTGCCTCCTTACCTCTTTGGGCCATAGGCGGCCTGTATATATCAAAGCTCATACCCAGTGTACCAAAGACAAAGTCCTGGTTGATGGATGACATACGTGGACATTTAGGATGAATTAATGCACTATTTGGGACATGAACAATAATATGGACCACCTGAGTTATAGATTTGTTTTATATTGTGTATTGTGTTCAGAAGAACGATAACATTACTGTACAAACAACTGTAGGCCAGTGGTTTAAAATATCTCCACTTTCTTTTGAAATTCTGACGTTAAATACGCGCCATGCCACGACTCTGATGGCGCAAAAGATATCCAGATACCTTCCTTACACCTGCTTCTGACCAGTGCTGCTGAATTTGCCAATGTTAAGTCACACAGCTGCACACAAAACAAAACAAATACCAACAAATACCTCAAATGTGCCAAAGTTGTGCGTAATGGCCACGGCCAGGATGATTGCACTGGATGTCGTCAATTAGGCATCACACAATCAACGAGATGACCTCGTTTATTAGTCATTACAGAGTGCATTGTTATATTACCTCCTTAATCACTGTCACCTCTGTGTTTAAGGCCTGTGTGTTTGTGTGTCGCGACCGTCTGAATGTCTATTGTGTGAGATTTGCATGATGCGTAATGCTTTCATGTATTATTAGCGGGGCGCTGAGTTTTATCAGTTGGGGAACAGGTCGTGTGAGGCCACGTATGTTCCAGGCTTTTCTCTGTTATCTATATAATCCAGTGGAGCACATACAAAATGTTTTGTCCAGAGAGACGTTTACGGGTCAATCATGTGTATTAAAGTGCGTTTACCTCTACAAACCATTCATCTGTGTCATTGCTGAGGGGGAATCTTGGGAAAGACAGAATTTAAGAGACTTTTTGAGGATTTTATAGCAAATCTTCCACCTGAATCCGCCCATCAGACCTTTATTCTAAGCTCTACAGACAAGAGAGGAAATCTCTGTCCATTTTCCCATCGTTTGAGAAGCTGCACGTGTCTCTTTTACGCACCGCAGAGTCCCTCAATGTATGCGGCCGTGCGCGCTCCCGTCCCTGGGGTAAAGAGTTATTGGCATAATAAAGGCATGTTTATCCACGGAGGAGATGAGAGCGCGGACGTCAGCGTCATTTGTGATGACAACCTTATCGAGCTCTCGGCTTATTGAGGGGACAAAAAAGAAACTCTATCGATTAAAACATCGAGGTTAGGCTATCGACAAGGATGGGTGCCCCACTGGCCCTGTCAGCGTTAACTCCTCAGTTCCCCCAAGTCACAAGGAGGTGTCATCATCCCCACCTGATGACAGGATGAGCAGTGAAAACTTGCAGCACAGCATGTCACGCAGTCAACTATACAAGTTTGAGAGCAATTATTTCAGGTTCCGTTACATTTACGCCTGGTTTGTTAAACAATAATTCATTTCACATTGTTGTTTTTTGTTCATCTAATTTATATTAAAAGTGAAACAATATTTATAAATGTTTGTCGATAAAATGTGTCTAAATTGGACTCTAAAGAGGAACATTTGGTTTTATTTTACTTGCATTTTCAAAGAACCCCACAGGCCTTTCCTCTGTCTAGCTCCCAAACAAAACAAAACAAAAAGGTGTTCCCTGATTCCTTTGCTGTTTTAATTCCTGGTGTGCAGGCTGCGAGTCCATCATACCATAAAAGGGCAAAAACGCCGAAAGAGCCATGATTAATGAGCGACGTTCACCTTTACCTTGGATCCACCTGCAGGAGCTGCACTATTGGAGCTGTGGAGACCTGCTGGAGCTGCAGCACAAGCTGCTCAGTCTAATTCAGCAAACATAGTAAGTTACGTAGTCACCCTCTGTTTTATTTATGCTCACCTAAGTTTTTCGATTTTATGAATGCGTTGGTAGAGATGTTTTTGATATCCAGGGCAGTGTATGCTCTCTATGAAACCTGTGACAAGGTTAGTTTGGTAACTTCAGACGCCCTCATTTTGTTTTTGGAGGAGGCGTTTCGGTATAAATAGTGAAGTACACAGACTTGTTGCTCAAGAGGCCTCTTTGTGTTTGTCAGGTCAGTCTGGATGAGAGTGAGGTGAAACATTATCGTTTTTTATTTCCCGAAAAAAAAAAACACTGGAAAAAAGTCAAAAGGATGTTTATGTGCTCTGTATGACACATTATTTTTTTTAAACTACAATCTTGATTTTAAAAAAAAGAAGTTGGCAGTAATTTTAACCAATGTTAATGCAATATGTATTTCTACATTTTCACTATTTTGATAGGAGATTGTAAATATTTATTTTTACATTTAACAAGAAATTAGTATTTCTGATGTTTTTGTTAAACTGTTTAACACATTGAAATTATTATACTGGATCACTGAGAAAGTTTAAACTGATAGGCCGAGTCACATAGATTACATTTACAAGACTTCATCTAAACGATTTAATTCTTTTGAAATGTTACAGTCCCACATCATTTTGAACACACACATTTTAAAATGCTGCTATTATTGTTAAAATAATTGTTTAAATTGTATCAACTTCTTAGGACGTATGTCGGCCAGAAATCCTACAAAGGATTTTAAAAATTAGTTTTCATCAAAAATGATCGGAATATTTGAGACAGAGAGATTTTATAGAGGTGGCTTTGGAAAATTATGTTTCTGCCTAATCTGCATATATATATATATATATATATATATATATAGATAGATACAGATATGAACCTAAATCTAAACATCTGGTGTCCTTCTAGTTTTCCTGCAATTATTAATTCCCCTCTGTGTAAAAGGGACTGAAAACATTTTGGCACAGAGCTGCTCATTTGGCCACATTTTCTAATTTCTAATGTCATTTTTTTTCGTGTGTCTGTGAGATTCCAAACCTGATAAAATGTTACACGTTAAATCAATTTTAAATTCTACAAAATAGAAGTTGAGTGACACGATGAAGAAAGTTGTTTTCTTACATTATTAAAATCGTTATTGGCGAATTTGTGTGCAATATTAGATAAGATAAATACCAGTAAAATTAAAGCTTGTGTTTTTAGAGAGCCCCACAAACCTCCCAAAGGTCCCTTGGGTGCTCCCGGAGCCCAAATTTGGGATGTTTAAGCTCCGCTGTTCTCCCTGCAGGCTCCAGTGCGCTATGCAGCAGCCACACAGAGTGGATTAGAAACGCAGCTGATCCTCAAAAGAAACCTCGGGGTCAATCCTCGGTCACAGTTTCAGTTTGTTGTCACAGCACCACCCACACCTAAACAACAGTTTACAGACCACACTGGGCAAACAAGCACTTCAACAACGCAGTCACAGTCCAACTCCGACGGCCTGTTTGACCAAAACACCCTCAGATTCGGCGCTAAATGCTGAAAATGACCTCAGAAAAGAAGATCTATCAGGACGTTTTTACTGATCCGACCGCCAGAATCTGGCCCCGCGCGGCTGATGGTTCCCATTAGGGCCCTCGGATAAACACACGGACGATGACAGATGTTTGACGAAAACCATTAAGGCTTTGTGAAGGAGGAATAGATGTTTAAAGCTTTTGACTTAAGGAGGTGACACTGGAATTACAGGGAGAATCCATTTGCGCGTCCTTGGTGTGGCCTAAAATATTATCAACCTTGTGCCAGACATTTCTGCCATGCAAATGATTGAGATATAGTATATTAAAATATAACTTTTTGACTTTGGTCGAATAAGCAAGCCCTTATAATGACCACAGCAACGGAAAGAAACTTAAAGCTGTTCATTTGACATGAAGGAAAACAGTAAATTTATATTCCAAATACATTCACTTGCATTTTAATTTGAATAATCCACTGAATATGTTGAGAAACAAAACAAAAAGTATTCAGATTTATTTAAAATACCTACCTATGATGTATGCAGAATACTTAAAAAAAAAACATTGGCTCATTAAAATATATTTTTTAAATGAATATTTGATCTCAAACATGAATACATGCACAGCAAAAATATAATTTTGTATTGCACATAAAGAAAAAAAGGCCGTCACAAAGCCAATTTAGATACTTTTTTCATCTTCTTTTGTTTAAAATTTTCTCTTGTAAATATGAAAAGTGTGTTTTGGAAAAAAAGCAAAAAATAATAATATTAATCATAATAAAAGTTAAAAAAGATTTGTTCACAGTTACTAAAATATTCTTACATCTATTTGAACAAATGCAACCTGAATTAGATGTTTGTGACTTAGATTTTTTTTCTCCATTTTGCAGGAATTACAATAAATACAATTCTTTAACATTTAAAATGATGTTTATCTCAGATTTCTACACACAGTTATATTATTTATTCACATTTATTTATTCTTTATGTAATAATAATCTCACTGAGTTTCTCATACTAAATATAATATCACAGTTGTCTATATCTTGGAGGATTTCAGGAACCATTTCACCTCTTCAAATCTCAGATCTCAGAACCTGAATCTATGCTGTGAACAAAAGGTTTCAAAAAGTTTCCTGTCTGTAGCCGAAAGAAAAAGATTTTATTTCACATTATGTGTGTTCCTTACAGCTGAATTCAAGCAGTTATAGAACAAGAAGCTTGTGACAATGTGACACTTTGTCTCCAACAGTATCGGAGGACAGAGACAGATGATTTGTGAGGCACCAAAGGGAAGCAGAGCTGACAAAGAGACTTGCGGGCCTCTACCTGACTGTACAGGTATAGGCTACTCTCAGAGACACACTTTCACTGCAGTCACATGTAAAAGACATTTTGTTCTGAGGTTGTTCGTAAACAAGTGCAAATACAGGTGCTTCGGGATGTGAAGGTCAGGGACGAGTTTGCACATGCATGCACAGGCACACACACACACACACACAAGGACACAAAGATAGAAATAGAGAGGAAACACATTACAAAAGCCTTCACAGATGGAGGGCCAGAGGGATGCCTCTGAGGTCTCACCTGCTTGATTTTCTTTTCTCATTTTTTTAGAGGTTTATTTGTGTGTGTGTGTGTGTGTGTGTGTGTGTGTGTGTGTGTGGCTGTAAAAGACAGAAAAAAGTCACCATAAAGTTCAGAGAGAATCACAAAGATAGAGGGAAAAGCAAAGCATTTAGAAGCAAATGACAAGGCTCTTACAGACAGGGAGGAAATTCAGTGGACGTTGTCATTGTACCACCTATGGTAAATATCCATTTGGCTTTGCCATCAAACCATATTGACAAAAGCTTTTGAGGTTCAGCCTCATTTCTCCTTTGTAATGGAGAAATCCTAGGTGTTCCAGGGCATTATGCAAATGAAAGGTGCAGGGACATGAACAAAAATATAGCCGGTGTGTCCTCGAGGCCTCTGATCAGAGTCAGACTGTGCTTTTACACATAGATCTTAGTTGTGGTTTGTTTATGGTCAGCTATGGTACTCTGCCGTCAACACACACACATACAGTTGGGCATGGTAAAAACCAAAACAGGAGAGTGAGACAGACAATTGCTTGTGATCACACAACAGCAGGCAGAAAGTGCTCGAAGCCCAGAGAGACAGAGAGGCAGACAGACAGAAGTCACTCATCAGGGCAGTCGAGGTATTGGCACATCTGCGCTCATTGACCACTCCCCTGTTGTGATTGGCAGCTAAAATGAATTCCTCCATCGACAGATGTGCGTCCCCATGTGCCGATAAAAGGACGGAGCCGATAGAGGGATTGACAGTATGATGGAGGAAGAGAAGACGGGGAAAGAGAGGTGAGATGACATCATGTGGTCAGCATGTAACATGATGAAACAGTGACTGAAGCAGTAAACTGTGTCGAGGTGTTTAGCGTGAGGAAAGGCGGAGATGAGGTGGTAGGTTAGAGGCTGACTGTAGCGCTGTACATCTACAGCAGAACTCACCTCACAGCAGTTTTCTTTAAGCCCCCTTTTGTCTGTTGAAGCGGTCCTGCGTGGCCAAATGGAGTGACTCAAAGTGAACAGGGGAGAGCACAGTCAGGACGCTTTAGCAGGTCTGAGGCCCAGAAGAGGAGAGAGGGACTGGGAGAAGGGCAGTGGTCTAAAGACAGAGGTCCATCCATCACACATGTCCTGACCTCAGCTTGACCCCAGCATGGCAGCCAATGAGGCGCCCTCACCCTCTAAAGAAAGCCCCCCCACCACACACACAAACACACACACAGAAGAGATCGGGTGACGCTGAGTGGAGTCTGGATGCTCTTTGTGTCTTTGCGAACATCGCTTCCCAGAATCCTTTGTTTTTTACGTGACTAATGTGAGTATCAACACCTGACAGACAGGCTGTTCATCCCATGTCTCTCTTTCTTTCTCATGTATGCACACACACACACACACACACGTACACACTCACACTTAAGATAGAGATAAGCACCGAGGAACATGAATAATATTTGTGACCTCAAAGATTTTTGAGTACTCCCTATTTTCATCACAAAAACGTAACCATGTTGTTGTTACAAAACCAATTCCATGTCAGTTTTCCATCCGTACATATGCACAATCAAACTTGAAATGAAAATATTTTCTACGAATCGTACCCTTAAAACACCATCTGCAAATACATTCCCACATTCTACAATTCATCACAAATATGGGGTTCTCGCTCCTTGATATGGGGAGCAGATGTCACCAACACAACAATGTGAGGGCAATTTATCTACAGATACAGAGGATTTGATGTCTTAAACAGCAAAAAGAATTTCATTTTAGGCTTGAAGCACTTAATATTTTCTCTTTGGCGCCCGAATAGAGTTCTATTATGATAAAAAGAAAGGTCGTCTGCACTGTAATTGGTGACATATGGTTTAAAACATTCATATTAATCATTCTTACGGTGCGTTTAAACAACTCAAAATCCTTGACACACACACACGTCATATCTGTATTTAACAAGTGTAGAGATAGCAAGATATTAGGAGTGTTTCCATTCACCTCTTTTTCTGCATATTTTCAATGTGCACATAAAAAAAAGCCTGAGTGGGAAGCCTGCGTAGGTTGAAAATTTGCAAAACAAAGTGCAATGGAAATGGATTCAGCAAATAAATGATGTCATCTGTGGTGGCTTTATTATGTTTGTGTATACACACAGGTTACCAGAACTATTCCAGGAGCACATAGGTGTAATATTACATAGTCAAAACTCTCTATTTCCATTGTCCAGTGTGCTCTCCATTATTACACATCTGTCGTTTTCCTATATTTCAGGTTTGAGTGGCGCTCTTTTAATCACAATGTCTCGTTGGTACCTGACTGTTACGTTAGAACCACCTTCTTACGTATCTCTATGAACCAACTCCCAATATCTGCAGAACAATGCGGAAACAAGTGAACAGGCTAAGAGGGTATTTACTGACCATCAACAGCTAATGTTAGCTGAGCCCCACTGACTTACCACGTGCAGCAATCCAGACAAGTCTTGTTCTCAACTAAATGTAAGTAAAGGTATTGTTGGCTGGCTAGAAGCAAAGGTGACATCACAAAATTAAATACAACTAATTGAAGATAATTTCTAATAACAGATATCTGCATGTGTATGCAGAATCTGTAGGCAACTGGACATGATTTTGGTATCATAAGCCTTCTGGTTTCCGTTTGTAATCTGTATTGACCAATCATTAGTGTGAGCTTTTGGTTGCATGCAAGTAAACAGGTGGGCGCATTAGCTGACATTCAGTCCCGGAACCCATCTGCTATTGTCTGACAACTATTTCACTTTTCCATACGCAGATAGGCCTGTCTGTTTATAGTGAGTAGCTGAAATGTTGTCTGGAGTTGCTCATCAAGCTGTATGGAGGCACATTGTGCTGCATTCTTCGCTAAGCTAACACACCTCGCAGTCATGTCCTCTAAATGCACAGCAAACAAGTCCACCCCCATACTGTCAAAGCTACCGAGTGTTCCTGGGATTGGTAGCTGTAATGTAATTTCAAATTGAGTCTCCTACACTTCTTCTTACTCCAAAAGGTCATAACAGTAGTGTAACTCCGTCCAACACTGATCTAATGTGATGTTAGCTACCCAGGTGGCCTGTTTGTCGCAGTGCATGTAAACCCAGAAAACAGATTGTGAAGTCACAAATTCTGTTTTTGAGAATAATAATAATAGTGTCCTTTTTTAAGCCTTCTTTGGCAGATAAAACTTCCTCAATTGTACAAAAAAGTTTTTACACTCACTTGAGGTGGTTTTGACTTTGCCAAAAAGAGTTGAAGCCATAAATGCGATCTTGACATGCCTTTTTGGAATTTGTTTTGATGGAGCAAACACTTAATTCGCATGACACTGTCAGCATATTTCCATGCATTATTATCATTGCACCAATTTTTCTTTGTCTCCAAATAGCATGAAACATGGCCAGTACTAACTGACGTAAAAGGAAAATTCAAACTTGCCAAACAGAAACAAATTCCTGATGACCTCTCCCAGTTTTTCACTCGTAGAAAGGCGAGATGGCAAAGACATTTTTCTAATCTTGTTAAAAGTGGATCACAGCCAAATCTATAGCCTATTCTGCCAATTTCTGACAAAACAACACTTTGTGGAGCCTCGTTTATTCACTCCAAAATGGTGACATTTAAAAAACTCACTTAAAATTCACTTGCCAATTGAATAACGTGGCTATATAATTTTCACAGGGAGTCAGATGATATATACATGTCAGTCTTCAGTATGCAGTGTGCCTGAAATAATCATGACTATCTAAAAAATAACTTCCAAAAACGTTTCTTTTCTTTGTCAAACTAAGACGAGAATAAACGAGCGGCTTTGTACTGTCTGTAATGTGATTTTTCACAGTTGTACCTTTTGTTATGCCTGTTGTCACTTTCTCATTGAGGCCATGATGTAAGATCGAGATACAAAGCTAAAACATAATCCCACACCCTAAACTGCACAGCCAGCAACATGCCCGACAGCCTTTCCTGAGTGCTTGTCAATAAGCGAACACAGCCTGAGCCAAGCCTTTGATATCACAGACCTGAGCCTTTGGTCTCATGAATAACTAGACAAGTGAAGTAGCATGTGTTAGAAACGGCCTCAAGGAGATAATTGCTAACATATCACAGAAAGAAACACTGAACCAACTTTCACACACACAAACACACACAGCTTCAGGGCAGAGGAGAGGTTTCAGCACCTCAGATTAAATGTCTCCATGTCAGGGAGAATTTGGAGAGTGTGTGGGTGTTTGACTGTGCTCAGGGCGACAGTGCAGCGATTGTCAGGATTGTTTGAGCTCACCTGACACTGTTTTACCTGTGAACCACCTGTCAGTCCGCTTCATAAGAAGAGCAATGGTGCTCACGTGCGCTGTGACAGAAGACCACTGGAAACACAATCTGGGAGGGATTAGGGAGCAATTTGTGCGTTAACTGACACAAAATGGAGCGCTCGACCTCTTTGATGGTTGCTGACAAGATAGCAGACCAGGTCACAACAAGACGTTTAGATCATTTTCGGCAAAATCTGACACGGTTGTTGTGCTTGTCAAGATTTCTCCTCTGTCCGGCTGTTTGACTGATGTGTTGGAGCATTTTGAAGTTATTGAAATGAACATATTTTAACATTTTTGAGCCATTAGTTTAGTAGCTCTCGTCAGAAGCAAAGCAAAATTTACTGATCTCAAATACTTGGCTGCTTCAGTGCATTTCATGAGCTTTTTGATGCCAGAAATTACACACACACACAGCTGTAAAGCCAGCATGGATGTTAAAACAGGCTGTGTTAATACAGCAGCTTGTTATTGTAAAGAATGACAGAGATGTTTCAGTGACAGATGTAAAGCTTAGTGTAACTCTAAGCCTCTCGTTTGTATACGCCCTGAGGCGCATCACACTGTGAGAGTCTGAGAGGCAGAGTGAAACTATGCACTGATAGGCTGCCTGTCCCCTTTAGGCAAAGAGCAGTCTAGATTTGAATCTCACAACACTCGTAACAGTAAGCTTAGCAAGACAAATTGATTCAGAGTGAAATCAGCGAGATACTGTATGTTTATGGTTGTGTAAACACACCAGATAAAAGCTTGTTATCACGCTGTTGGGAGCCGAGACGCTGACAGAGCAGCAGTGGCCATCAGAAAACATCATCCTGTGTAAACCACAATGTTGTGAAAGTGGAAGTTTTCCTAGCTTCTCATTTTGTTTTTGTATTCCAGTCTTGTTTCTGCTCTGTTCTCCTCAGAGGTGACCACAGCCTCATTTCCCCAAAGCATCTTAAAGTTATAATTTTGTGCAGCTTCTTACACGTGCAAGGTAAATAATCATGCTCTAACAAATGATCAGATAGTTTGGAAGTGGTCACCAGACTACATGATACATTGTAATCTTCTGTTTTTGTTAATTCAATTTAATAGCTACAAATGGTCAAACTCAAAACTCAAGCAAAGTGTCTCCCACAAACTTTTTTATGCTGTAACTCATTCCTATTTTGTTCAACTTGTACTGATTCCATGTTTTGCCATACTGTGCACCTTGTCAAATTGGTGGATGTGTTTCTCAGTTTGCTGATGCTTTATTTATTTGCTGCATATCCTCCTAAATGCAAAGTATATGTTGTCAGAGTGGTGAGGATGTTTTCTTTAGTTGCTTCTGTTGTAGGTTTTTGCTTGTGTTCTTAAGTTGCAGTACATTGAGTTCTCTCTGTGACATGTGCACATTGAATTAAAGTGGTGATGCAACATAGGCAATGAACTTTAAATTAAAACAGTATCCATCAAAAATCATATTACTTTTCCAAGA